ACCGAGTGCTGTAGATAAGTCGTAACTGAGTCAACCCTGTGATACCACACCAATTACACTTCCTACATTTGTAGCCTCAACTGCTGGACAGTTCCTCTAAAAGAAGGCTTCGGTTGAAGGCGGGCCCTCTCGGCCTCCACGACGTGCGCCAACTTCCGGATGAACTCGTCCGAGCTGCTTCTATCCGTCTTGCTTAACTTCATAAGGCTCGCCTGCGAAGACCAGATGACCCACATGGTGCCCAACGCAGAAAATCACCTCTTCCTTGAGCTTGGCGGCGAGTTCCTCAAAATGGGCTGCTGGTTCAGTAGGGATGGCTGGCAAGTTCGCTTCGCTCTGAAATCGTAATAATCACACGAACTGATAAGAAAAGCGTCGACGAATCGATAGATTGTCGGTTCGATTCCCCGTAAGAGCATCAGTAATATTACCGGCACTGTCACAACCCCAGCAGCATCCTTGGCCTTCTGTTCATTACGCAGCTTGTTCTTCCTCCTCCTAGCACTTGTGCTCATCACAAACCCACCAGACGAATCGGAAGAGGCACTTTTCCTCTCCAAGGTGTCCTCGGGCGTTGACAGTGTAGGTGCTGGAGATTGCTGAGGAGTGCGACCACTTCTTACGGCTGCAAGTACCGGGGATCGCCTATTACCTCGACATTAGCGGCATCGCCATCCGGCTGTTGCTTCGGCTTGGTCTTCTTTTTGTGTCCCATAGTAAGAAGACAAACTGAAATCCTAGCACCAGGCACTCGTGTGGAACTCTTGTAAAATTTAGTAAAAATTTCCCAGCAGTAAATCTCCCCCAATCCGTATTCGTAGATGTCAACTTTTAAATCATATTCTGCTAAGCAGATGCAGAGAGATCCTCATCATCCCAAATTCAACATCAAAAGGAACAACCCTCAAGAAGACCATCTGGAACTACACACTGAGAGTTTTAACCCTCCAGGATTGTCATTTTGCAGAGCCCATAGGATGCCCTGAAAGCAACGCAACGCAACGCAACGCAACGCAACGCAATGCTTATTGCCGGGCTTTACGGGCTAGCAGCCGATCGCCCTCAAACGTACAATAGCCGGCTCAGAAGTACCCGTGAACATAATGAGGCTAGAACCTCGTCGACACCAGAAAGGCTGCTACGACAATGAAACATGTATAATCCTGAAAGGCCCGAACGAGAAGAAAAAGAAAAAAAAAGAAAAAGAAAAAGAAAAAAAACAAAATCAAACGTGGTATCCAGACTTCGTAATAAGGGTAAACGCGACCGAGAGCATATCACGATTACCGTAAAGAAGACGATACAAGAACTCGTCAGCTCTAGCGAGGGGAATGTGTAGAGGGAACGATACCGGACGATACATACTGAGCGGAATGCAGTGAAGGAGGAGGTGTACCACCGAAAGAGGGGACGAGTGACATACAGGACACAAGTGGGGGTGGAAGAAGGGAAGAAGGCCAAGCCGAAGACGGTAAAGAAGACGCTGTTCCACCCGAGTAAACTCGTGGATGGGATCAGATGCCCACGAGAAACGATGATCTGGGGGCTCCCCAGGCAAGGCGGCACTAGACCGCTCATGTAGCTGCTGGAAACGCTGACGTAAGCGATGACAGGTACCAGGGAAGGACTCGCGGGGGAAGGAGGGAGGAACCCAAGTTTGGTCTTTGGCACGGTGATCGACTTCGTCATGCAGCGCAAATCCGACGTGAGATTTTAGCCATTGCAGCTGGATGACATCTTGGCCATAGCGGATCCGAAGTGGAAGGAGCGATTTGAGTCGTTGTAGGTCAGTGAGGACTTCCCAAGCAAGCTCGCGATGACCAGATCGTTGGAACCAACCAGAGGTAAGTAACCTGATCGTAGATAAACTATCAGTTACCAAAACCAGACCCGTAGAGCGGGCAAGAGGTTGAAGATAGAGAGGGTTTGTGAGGATAGTACGTAGAGTATAGTGCACACTATATAGTTCCGCCTCCAACGAGCTCGAGATATGGGGGCCCAATGATCCCTGACCAGAGAGAGGAGGAGGAACCATTGCGCTGCGGTGCAGTAAAGGTGCGTCGTGGGGAATCAAGGTCCATGCATAACCAGCACGGTTGCCAACTGCAACCTCGGGATGAAAAGAGCCATCCACGATTAAGAGCGCTCGCCCTGAGCCTCGGTGGTAGGTTAGAGTCTCCAAGATAGCAAGCCGGTGCTCTTGCGCGGAGGCCCCAGGGCAAACCGGTGCCAAATATCCTGGGAGTCCCGTAACAGGAGGTATAGCCAAGCCCGGCGCTATAGGAGGGAAGCGGTGTACAGAAGCAGGGGGAGAACTGAAAGAACCGGTCACACAGAGAGATGCCAAATGAGTGAGAGAGTCGAGTAACCGTAAGGAAGGTAAGCCCGTAGCAGGATCCATCTGGGGTACATCCCTGTTTAAGTAGCTATTGCCATGTTGAAGGCACAGTCGGTGAAGAGGCGAGGTGTGGATCCGGCCAACCCGAGCTAGAAGTTGCTCACAGGAGTTGGTAAGAAGTACCGACAAGAGCGGTAGGTCAACTAGGCGTAGGACTAGAGTTGGGGAGGCTACTATACTGCACCCCAAGATGGCTTTAATTGAGTGGGTATATGAATTCTCCAACCGTTTCCAATTCGTAGATGACATACCAAAGGACCAAGCTGAGCAACCATACGTATAGACCCACTGCACAAACTGCAGATAGAGCTTCCGTAGAGTAGCTGTAGGTGTACGAGATAAACGATATAGCACAGCGACCCGGCGCCGGGCTGTCGCCCGGATAGACTTCACTTGGTCAGTCCAAGTTAAACCAGCATCGAAGATGACGCCCAGTAGTTTCACTGTCGAGGAGGGGACTAGTAAGTGACCCCCCAGCGATAGTGTAGAGGGGAGGAGCCTCGGCATTGGACGACGACGAAAGTATATCAGCGATGTTTTCTCTTCTGAGAGAGCCATACCCGACATAGACGCCCAATTTTGCGTAATTGAGATAGCGTGTTGAAGTGCATAGTCGACCTGTTCTTGGGTGCGAGCAGAAGCCCAGAGACACACATCGTCGGCATACGCAGCAAAACCACACAATCGGTAAGCGGGGTGAGTAGTAGTGGCACATAAACGTTGGAGCTCATCTAGCAAGGAATCCACGTAGATAGCCCATAACAAGGGCGACATGAGGCATCCTTGAGGAAGCCCCTGACTCTGCTTTACAGAAGAAGAGCGGGCGCCTGCGATATCTACGAAGAAGCGTCGTCCTCGGAGGAAAGCTCCTGTCCAGGAGCAAAGGAGAGGGTGGATAGGTTTTGTAGTCAGACGCTGCAGAAGAACTTGCAGAGTCACTGTGTCATAAGCCTTCCGCCAGTCTAGTGAGAGAAGGCCAGTGATGTACCCGTTCGCCATCTGTGATCTAATAGAGGCATGGACGTAAGCAAGTTGTTCAGCACTAGAACGGAAGGAGCGGAAGCCATGTTGATGAGGGTTGAGGGGAGGGGTGTCGATCGCAGAAGGGCGCCGTTCAAGTTCCCATTCCATACGGTAAAGGACCATACTCTCTGCAATACGAGCCACAACATTAGTAACCGAGATAGGACGGTAATCCGCAACATCTGTAGCTGTGGGGGTTTTTGGTAGCAGAATAACCCGTGCATAGCGCCAGGCTGACGGAACCTGTATCGACAAGAACGAACGGTTGATAAGACGAAGCAAAGCTGAGAGCATATTATGAGATGAGAGAATAAAGAAACGCGGAAGCAAATTGTCTGGGCCAGGGGCGGCTGTAGGGTTAAGACGGTCTAACGCACGAGTTAATTCCGCAGGGATGAAGGCCGAGCCCTGGGCAATATCGGCCTGTTGAGGCAGTGGTAGAGTAGATAATGACCCAGTAGGTAGCGATCTGGCCGCTTGATGGGCTTGGTAGCACTGTACACGTCGCACGCTAGAGCACCTGCGGTACATTCTCCACGAGGTTGCTCTTGATCGAGGGGAGAGGCGACTTTTGTAAATAGACCCTGAAAGATACTTGGCATACAAGTTGGCCGCATGCTCGCCCTGCTTGCCGTTTATCACAATTGGACGTTGTTGCCGGGGACCAAAAGCTAGGGTTTTAGCTACACGCCATTGAGTACGATAGGAGAAAGTCAATGTGCCCGTGAAGGATTCCCACTGCTCTCGTTGGGCGGCACGGAGACGTTGAGCGTACTCGCGGGAGGTAGACCAGAGTTGCTGTCGCAGTCGATCCCATGGTAAGCCCAGCCGACTGCGTGAGTGGATAACCCGACGTATTCGATTTTTTGCTAAACGAAGACGGTTTAACTCCTCGGACCAGTAGGGCTTGTGGGAAGGGATGTTACCACGGGGGACAGAATGCTTCGCCGCTGCTAGGATGATATTTGAGAGGGCAGCATTGATATGATCGACTGACTGGTTCCAATCCACGTGAAGTAGAGCACGATCTTCGAATGATTGGTACTTGTTCCAGTCGGCCTTCTTAAAGTTCCAAGATGGACGGGAGCGGGGAGTATGCTGATAGAAGGCGAAGCGGGGTTGAGTGCTGAGGAGTGTTTTTAACGGAGAGTGGTCCGAGTTAGCCAGGGCAGACTCCAGTACCAAGCACGCTGCTTGTTGAAGAAGTGACTTGGAGATAGCCACCAAATCCACCGTAGAGGCTCCATGGGGACCGAGGAAGGATGGGGCGTCATGAATGTTATGAAGTGGACGAAGTCCTGCGTCGTGTAACCATTGATGGATGATATCCCCTCGGCGATCAGGAGAGGTGAAAGAAGAGTCCCAAGATGGATGATGAGCATTTACGTCGCCCATGAATAAGCATCTATTTGGGGGTAATGCAGGTAGGGTGATAGAGTCTAGTGCAATATTTGGCCGGAAATAGCCATTTGTAATAGTCAAGGGAGATGTGCCGTTAGTAGGTTGGATTAAGATAGATAATAACATAAAGGTGTTGTTCGTATCCGCGAAACTAACAGTTTGAGATAAGCGATAAGACAATCCTCTGCGGACCAGGGTAAGAAGGCCACCACTACAATGTCCCCGGGTTCCTGGTCGTAAGCGAACTCCAGGGAGAGATTCCACCGAATAACCAGGGAAGCGTAATGAAGAAGAAGGGCCATGATGTGTTTCTTGAAGACAGACAATGTCAGGACGGGCCAATTTCAGGTATGAAAGCAATTCTAGACGACTAGACGATAGACCAGCAATATTGTAAGATAGGAGTGTGAGAGACCCTGAGGGAGAACGATGGTGGAAGCGCTGGGGCATACAAGACAACAGAAATGTAAAATAGGCGGAGTGGTCCACACGTAGCAGCCGAGAGAAAACGCTAAAAATTAGCTATACTGACATCGACGGAGGGAAACCCCACCATACTCCAAGGCACCCGCTGAGGGATGTACGAGTATAGGCAGAGGTGGTCAAG